AAAAAAAAAAAAAAAGTTTCCCATTTGCCACTAAGTGGCTGTATGTCTTTGGAAAATTCATTCAACACATTTTTGAGCACCTATAGACATTATTCTAGGCTCTGGGGATACAGTAGTGAGTAAAAAAAGATCAAAATCCCTGCCTTCAAGGAGCTTACTTCCCACTGTGGAAAACCTTTTTGACTCTCTTGGCTTGAGTTTCTTCATCTGTCAAAACCAAGGGAGACTACATTCTATTAGGAGGGTCTCTTTCAGCTCTCGCTTTCTGGGAAGGTTGAGGGTATGCTTGGCATAAGCCCACAGCTTCAACTTCAGCCCACAGTGGAGCCAGCCACACCTTTCCCTCCCCCACACACCCAGACAGACCAAAGCCACTACCCACCCCTGCTGTGCCCCGCTGCTCAGGTCCACTCACCTGCCACAATGACAGAGGTAAAGCCAAAAAACATTCCCAGCGCCATCTTCTTCAGAGCTGAGGGTAGCAGCTTGTGCCGCAGCAGGAAAGGGTCCAGCACGCGGTCCTTCAGCGGGACCAGGATCAGCACTACCACGACGTTGGCCAGGAGGAGCCAGGCTTCCGGGATCTGGGAAGGAGGGAGCCAAGAGAGGCAAGTAGCAGAAAGAAGCTCGGGACTGGAGCTGGGAGACCCGGACTCCAGACTTCCCAGGTGACCAAGGGTCAGCCCTGAACTCAGACTCCTCAGCTGTGTAATTAGGGGGTGGGAATGATCAGGAATGGCAAATAGGTTCCTCTTGTAATCTAACTTCTATCAATTGGTAGTGGCTGCCTGGAAGATTCATGGGTTCAGAGTGAAACAACGTTGTGATCGATTAGTGATGTCTGTCATGGGCAAGGAATGGGGATATAGTGGCAAATATGCCATTTATCTGCCAGCTCTGAAAATCTTTGATTTTATGAACTGGTTTCAAAAGTCCTGGTGGAAGGTGGAGATCTGGGGATCCAGGGGTCCCAGTGAGGGAGAAAAATGAGGTAGAGTCGAGTAGGGGTCCAGGTGCACCTGATCTGAGGGCCTGGTGCAAACTGGGCAGTGAGGACTGTTTCAGGTGGGAGTGAAGCTGGCCTGTATTCGTTTGAGCATTTGGGCATCTTGGCAAGACACCTGGGCTGCAGCACCAGTTTGCCCACCCTCCAGGTGCCCCTCCTCTATCCTGAGGATGCCCTGTAGCTGGAGCAGGGGAATATAGAGGCAGCTTCACTTCCTTCTTTGCTCAGAGGAAGCCCCCAGCCTGGCCTGAGCCGGTGGCTGAACACATGCTTGGTCTCTCACCGTGTAGCTGTTGGGCTGGGTGTGGAGAGCTGTGAAGCTGTTGGCAGGGTTGACTGGGAAAATGTTGGGGATCTGGAGGTGAAGACCCTGCAGGACATATGTGGACTGCATCTGCCAGGAGAGACAGACATGAGCTGGGACCAAGCAGCTGCCTCCCCTCCAGCCCCAGGAGACTCCCAGCTCCCAGACAGGCATTCCTCAGCAATGCCACGGGACAGTTAGGCAGCTGGCCCCTATCTCGGCCTCAGGGGGGAAGTGGCTTTCCCACCCCTCAGGAGCCAGGCTTTGCTCTGCTGTCAGGCCCGCGAGCAGTGTGTGTGGCCTTATTCCAGAGCAGGGGCGAGGACTACAGTGGGCATAGCTGGGTCTGATTCACCTTGTCTCCAGGACCTGACACAGAGTAGGCATGGATAAACGTTTACTGAAATGGGGAGATAATGACATGGCTGTTCCCATGGGGAGTTCTCATCAGACACGGAGGCCAAGCTGAGTTCCATAGGTTGACACAACCAGAACTAAGTAGGTACTCGCCAACCAGAATGGACTCTGGACACATCTGGGACCCTGCCATACCAGGCATCACCCCTTTAATTGCAAGATCGTGGAGAGGGGCCCAGGGGAATCCCATGGGAGGAGCCAGGTCAGGGGAGGACACTT